CTGGTTTCCCTTTCCAGAAGAACATATAGCCACCCCCCTCCTCCCCCACAGACTTACTGGCCAGACACTGCTCTCCAAGCTGCCCGGCTGCATTCCTGGCTATGTGCATTTATCAGTGATGTCAATTAGCCAAAAAAAAAAAAAAAGCGCCAACAGCCAATAACAGTAATTTTCATTTTATCAGTACCAATCTGATATGCAGCAGATATACTGGTACACCTCTAGAGGGGGCCACCAATTTTGTGTTTGCCCAGGACCCAATAAATCTTAATCCACCTCTGGTGCTGTTCAATTCCCAGAAGTTATGGAGGGGGTTCTTTGATCCTATAAAGGTTGAGACCCACTGTTGTAAGGTCTCTGGTAGGTTGATACCGTATGATTTCCCGTTACAAAAGCCAGGTTGACTTTTCCCCAGCAAGTCCTGTTTGTCCATGTGAAGACAACCCATTTTTTTACTGTAATTCCAATAACTCCAGTATGCAACACAGGATACTGGGCATGATGGGTATTGGTCTGACTCAGTAAATAGCGATTCTTACATAATTTGTGAGGAGTAGCTATTAAGCTCACTTGCTTGTAGTTCCCCTAGATCTCCTCTGGAGTCCATTTATAAGAAAGGGATTGTATTGGCTACCCTCCAGTCCAAAGGCTGTTTTAGTGATATCATCTAAAATTAATAGACCTGCAGTTTCAAGTCTGAGCTTCTCCAGGACTCTTGTTTACAAAATACCATCTGAGCTTAATTTGCCACTGTTTAGTTTGTCAGTTTCCTCTATAGCCTCATCTATCAACACCTCAGCTTGAGTCAATTTTTATCCATCCCCTGGAAAGAGTGGCTCCAGTCACAAGAGTTTAACTGGGGGTCAGCAACCTACAGCCCCCAGGCCAGATCCATCCCACACAAGCAACTAGATACGGACTGCAGCCAGATGCTTTATCCATGCTACCTGATGGCTGACCATCAGAAAGGAGAAGCAGGAAGTGGCAGAAGCATCTGGGTCCCAGCCAGAAAGTGTAGCTGACTTGTGTGTGCTCTAGCTTAATTCACAAAACAACTCACTCGGTTTCTCCACCACAGCCTTAACCTTCCTGAGCACTTACTCTGAAGGCAGTGAGACACAGACAGAGAGAACAAGCTTTCCAAAGGACTCTGCCACCCTGATACTTGATTTATCGCCCATTCTGATTTACCCAACTCCTGAATACTTTCCAGGCAAAGAGGGCAAGACTAAGCCCTTCCCCCCGCACCCATAGGCCTTGCCCTCCAAGTACTCAGCTGCTTTTCTTTGCTAGCTGTGTGTCTGCCACACCTGTGTACTGCTCAGCCCCTCCCCCGTGCTTCTCCCAGCTTCCTGCCTTCAGAGACCTGAGGAAAAAGGTCTTGCACTGGAAAACTGGTCCTTTTTTTTCTTTATATATTTCATGTAACAGGTCAAAGTAGCCAAACCAGCTCCAAATCCAACTGATTGAACAGAACTGAATCCTTCTGAAAATCGTATCGGCTGAGCAGGCAGAACACAATGGTCCTAGACGCCAAGTATAGTGCTACAACACATCAGCACCCTCCATCCCAGGCTCTAACTTGCCTGCCTACCTTTACCCCAGCCTCATCATTGTGCCCTAAGAAACCCTTGCCTCTCAGCCAGGCTGACTGAGCCCTGCCCGTTGATTTTGTGCCAGCAACATGACCCCCGCTCCCCGCTGGCAAACGTTTAACCCTCTTTGCCCCCTTACATTTCTGACCAGCCCCAGGGCGGCAGCACCTGGCCCCCTGCGCTGCTGCCGGCCCCCATCCTCACCCCAGACCCCTGCCGCTTCCGCCTGCAGCGCCGCCCCCCAGCCCAGGCTCGGACAGGGCAGGGCAGCAGCCCACGCTCACCTTGAGGTGCTCGTAGTAGCTGCCGGTCCCGAGCTTCTCCACCTCGCGGAAACTGCTGTCGCGCTTCACCGCCTGCACCAGCCGCGCAGCCAGCTCGTTCACCAGCGCCGCCGCCTCCACCGTGTCCCGCCGGGCGAGGCTCAGCCGGCTCAGGACGGCCCGCAACAGCTGCCCCAGTCCCGGCCCTAGCCCCGGC